TGAACTGTCGCGCTTCTCGTTGCGTCACACCTCAACCCGCCTCAAAGCCAACGCTGATTGGACGTTGCAGATCACTCCAGACTGATCTGCGAGTGAAACCTTGAAAGCTCGCGAGATCAGGATGGTCTCACGAGGCTAGTACCAATTTTGAACTAATTAAAAACAGTTTTGTTACATTTAAAAGATAAATATGTCTTTTCTTTGGTCAAAGTTGATGTTGGCTATACATATGTTTGCATATATATCGAACAACAGGATGTTTTATGGTTTTCTAGTTTTTCACTCAAACAGTTTAACTATGATTATTCTTCCTGAACACCAAATCATAATAAAGAGTTTTAAATAACACTGACCCATTACTTCATAAGAATCATAATACTCTGAATAACAAGACGGGCACAGCAAGAGTCTTCTAAAAAGAAGCACAAAGCGTTCCTGAATGCTCTACAACCTTCCATCAATCCCAGTGACATCTCTGGTTAGTTCTGCAGGTTAATTTGACACAAGCATCTTCACCACGAAGCAGCTGCCAATGGGCGAAATGCCAATCCTGACCTCTATTGATTACTCCGCCAACAGAAGGCCAAGGTGTAGGTATGTTTACTCTGATTGTTTCTCTCAGTCTGCTTATTCGCTTGACTGTCCTTCAGCAGGGCCAACCCACTGCTTTCAAGCTCTGCTTCTGGAAAGGAGGCCTAGGTGAATATCAAAAGTAAAAACTTCAACCACTTTGATAAAAACTATAATATTGAGCGTCAGCCTCGTGTTTAACAGTTTTTTTTTGTTATGGACCTGCTTCACTCACTATTCCATTTATTCTGATTAGCTTTTCTGTTCCTACTGAGGATAATGACAATGCAGACTGAGTGCTTAGGGTGATGTTCAATAGTTTTCTCCCCTTCTAAGCATTTTAAATGACTTATTTAGACTCAGCTTTTAAAATGTTCAATTGTTCTCTAAGGCCAAACAAGCTTCAGATTACTCTTCTTAATGCATTCCTTAAACAATTACTTTTTTTCTTGCCTTTCTTCCAAAACGTCTGATTTTCACTGGGCAGAGCAATAAACTTGTCAAAATCCACCTACCTTAGCTATGAATTTAGAGCTTTCGTGGCTTTATTTAATTATTTTCCAATTAAAATTTTAATTGCTCCATCTTTCTCTTTATGTAGGTAAATAAATCTAAGGTTATCTAGAATTGTACCATTACCCTTGTTTGGACAATACATACATTTTTGCAATGCATAGACGTTAGATTATTGTTTAAAAGCTCCTCTCTCTTTATGTTCTTTATGATGCTGTTTGCTCACTCAAAACTTTGCACTTAAAAAAATGTATGGATCATTTACTGAACAGCTGTGTTTTACTAAAAATAGATTACAAACAGTTGCATGCTATTTGCCAGTTAGGCGAATTTATTATTTTTATTTAGTGATGTTAGAGACTAAAAAGTTTAATGCAAATGTGCATTAGACTCTTCAGATATCTGTGGCAAATTATGAAAACCATCCATATTTTTACACCCACTCCTCAATCATTTGCATTTAGTTTTAACCGATGGCTTCAAATCTACTTAAATAGGAACAAAAAATTTTTTATACATATATATCTATGAAAAAGTTAAAGGGGTTTCAATCATTTTAAAAGGCACTCTAAAATTAACCAGGGGGTAAATTAGGACATATTTGACCCAAATTTGATTGTTTTTAATCAAGCAGTTTTAATATAATGCAAGGAAATTCTCTAAAATGGTGTCACATTTGCATAAATTGAAATAAAAGTTGCCTTACTCTGAAAAAAAAAAAAAAGATAGGGATAAATAAGATTTTTTTCCCCTCAAATTATGAACTTTTAAATTCTGAATCTCTTTTTCAAAGGCAGACTAACATTAGTTTGTCCCCTTTCAATAATGAATATGTTACTTCTGTTTATGCAAATCCATGTCGGACAGGCTTGAGGGGGAACTCTTGTTTTTTGTTTGTGCTTTCCTTATTACATATGATTTCTACCATAAAAGTACTTGTAATTTTATAATATGTTGTAGTATTTTAGGAAAAGGCAAATAATACATGTCTTTAAGGCTCTACATTTGCTCAGCTTTCACCCAAAAGTTCTAATCTTATCCTTTAGTTTACTCTAACACCACCGCTTACTTTGACATATGGTCTGAATGAAAAGGCCAGCCTGAGGGGCATCACACTGTTCTTGTTTTATTATCTCTGTTGCAGCTGTATATCCTTATAGATCTGCATGAATTCTGCGGAATCCTTCATTGTTAATGTGCATTTTAAATTTAACCCATGCCTGGACCAAATGTGGCTTTATACAGATGAGTCCAGACTTAATCAGGCAAATTGTATGTTGTTCAGAACATCTGTTTCAAATTGACAACCCCCTCTCCTTCCCCCATGGGGTTGCAGTACCCAAACTGATGCCTCATGTTAGTTGCAAAGAAAGTGAAAAGTTAATGAAATGTCAAGTATAGATGATATGTTTTTTTTTTTTTTTTCGCTTAGATTATCTTTCATGGAAAACAAATTTAATCTGTCAAGCACTTTGTGTTGAAGCCACTCTCATTCTAAGAGTGAATTAAAAAAAATAGATGTCAAGCAGAAAGCAGATCTTGCTGTTGCTCTTACCAAGTTGGAGGGTAAGGTTGATAGAATTGGGGTACTGGATGCCATAGTACATGGACTGACTTTGCCACCAGGTGGGCTCCTCATTCCTGTTAAAGTCCGTCAGAAGGCTGGCATTGTGGTTCAGCTCAAGGTCTGATGCGTCACAGTGGTGACACAAACGGGTTGAGCCAGTTTGCATGCAGTAATCCTCAGGCGGGGAACCACATACATTTGATGCCATCACAGTGCGATTGAAGGCAATGTTCTCAAACTTGGGCATGCAACGGCTAGGGACTCCGTTCTCATCATAGCAAGTGTCCATTGCTGCCCAAACCCAGCAATGGAGGTACAGGTAATGGGAAAAGACAAAAGTCAGGATAGGAGAGCCTAAACCAAAGGATGCAGCCATGCCTACATCCAAACCCATACACTACAGTTCTGAAGTTGCAAACAAAAGAACAGAGCTTCATAGGAAAATGTAGTCCAGAATTAGAAAATAAGTCCACTCCAAAGTCCTGTTTGTCTACTTTCTCTGTTCTCCTTCTGCCGGGTTTCCAACATGTGTTCTTCTTCTGTGGAGTGGAATGAAGTTTATGTAAGGACCACTCACTTCAGGAGCAAGCTGGAGACAGAGGAGGGACAGGGGTGGGGGCTGAAAGACCCCAAAGACATTTCAAATTTCTCCACCTGCTGGGTAATTTTGAAAACTACACTGTTGAGAATTCACCTGGAACAAACTGGTTTTTATCTTGCATAATTAAAAGTTTGTCACCTTTGGAGTCTGAATAAGCATAGCAAGGAAGGAACTACTGCTTAAATACCTTCTGCAATTTGAGAATTAAAATTTGTTATTTGGGCTTGCAACAGAGTAGGTTGTTAAAAAAGATTATAAAATCTTTTCTGAATCAATAATTAGAATATATAAAAGTTCTTGATTTCAGCAAATAGTGGCTTTGCTAAGATTTTCAGGTTATCGTACTTCACAAAGGAGTATACCATAATCAACAAATCTGAAAATCTGTGTAGTGGTTAAAGGCCTGTTATGTGTGGTGTTAAATTTTGGGACCAAGATATCTAGAACATAGGAGGAGGATTAGGGCCATTGGAAAGTCAGAATTCTGACTTTTTTCCCATACTAAACTGAAATAAAATGTAAAAATCAGTTAACTTTTTCTTTTTTCATTGGCCCTAATCCTCTTCCGTAAGAACGTCCTGATAAGTTATCTGGGTCTCATAAAATAGACCCCTAAATAAAACTTTAATCTATTTGTATGCATTTATTTATATTTATTGAATGCATTATTTGTCATTACTCATACTTGTATAATCTTAGATATTAAGACAAGCCTTCATTGTGTGTACATTGTTTTAATAAGTTATGGTTTGTGTCAAGTCTATGTATCATATATAACTGTTACTGTTACTGTTTACTGTTATTATTTTTTCTAGTTTATCAAGTATTTAAATGTATAGTTTGTTAGTCTTAAAATGGAAAACAAAACATAAAAAAAAAAGATTAATATTTTTAAAAACACAGTTATTTACTTGAACTTTGTAATTGTCTGATTTGTGTTGATCAAATAAAATCCAAAAGGATTGAAATATAGATTAAGATCCAATGTAATAATTACACTTGCAATGCACTGCATAAAGGTTTTTATTCTATGCTAAGAAAAAAGATAAATCCTGACCCTAAATATTCATAATAAATATCAATAATATATTATACATTTGTCATTTTACTGTATAAAACAGGAATCTATTAAAATAAATAGAGTGGATGATATTTTACAGAAGCTGTGGAAACAGTTTACGGAATTATGAAAATGGAGCAAACTAGCTTAAAGTAATTTAATTTTAACTTGGCTTATCAGTAAGTGGTAAATGTCCTAATCTTAAATCACCAAAATCAGGTGGACAATGCAGTTTTCACTGTTCTCCACCAGAGCATGAGCTCAGACCCTATGTTACAGAATTACAGGATAGCAGTTACTGTATATGCCTTGAAAGTTACCTTTACTCACATTAGAAAGTACAGAGCTAAATCTTAGGAGTGTGGACAGCTTACTGCTATATGCATCATGCCAAATGATGTGCTGCTCTGCATGAGCCAATACTCTATGAATACCCAGTTACAGCCACGGTGTGAACTGGATGTATTCTGGCAGGCACACGGATAATTCAAGGTGATGCTGTGGGCAGATGTTTGCAAAAACAATTAACAGAATTAATCATTGAAGCAGGACCTGGCATTGTACCTGATATTAAATTACTGCTTTGAAAGACCTTCACATTTCATAAACAGCAGCAGCGTCATGGCTAGACGTTCTTTTGTATGTTTGTTCTAAATCAAAAATAAAGCAGATCGTCAACCAAAGTTTTAATCAAAACTACTAAATACATTCACTTCGACAATAATGCAGCAAAAATAGTTAACGCATTTCAAACTTAGATAACCTGACATATTTATTTAAATGATTCTATATGGAAAAGAAAAAGGTAATCATTTACTTTTACACTGAACAGATTTTCTATCCCATAGCTGCACTCAACACTTTTAGACGAGTAACCGAGAGCATTGAAATGGTTTCTGGTACTTATTAATAAATACCAAATTAATGGATAATTTTAAGTATTTGTACTTCTTTATTTCTAGAACTGTTTCACAATTTTCTACCTTTAGGATTATCATAGTGTAAATGGATATACAGTATGTCAATTAGATATCTGTGGTGGTCCGTCCAGTGAGGCACAAGGACAAAGGCGTATAAACAAGTATTTTCTGTTTATTTCCAAAAAAATCTTCACAAAAAAGGACTTACATCAAATCTCAAAAAAAATATACCAAAATGTGCCCAAAGGAAATCAACTAAGGCATACCTAACCCAGGATAACAAACCAAAAAACTGACCTCATACAATGAACACACAGGGGAATTTATACATAAAAGGCTAGCCTACACAAACGAGGAGGGGTGGGAGATGAGACAAAAACAAACAATGCATGAACATAAATAGCTAATTCAAACCAACACATTTTGACTACAACACCACTATCAAAGGAAGACAAGATAACACCAAAAATGTTTTAATAGTTATGCCATAAGTGGAGAGAGAGAAGCAGACTCCAACATCCAGTCCCCTGCTTCCGGCAGCCTGATGGTACGTCCCACTTCCTGGTTTGCCTTTCAACCAGTCCTCTCCACTCAGAGAGTGCTTCAAACTCAGCAAAGAAAAGTAGTTATTTCAAATAAACAAAAGGTGTTTACTAAATGTGTGCACCCATAATAGTAAACAACCTAATGCAAAAAAAACACCACAAAAGTGAAATTATAAATGTATTGTGTGAAGACCTTTAAATAAATAAATACTAACACTGAGGAAAAGATGGAGGAACCTCCACAATATCCTTAAAACATCAAATCTGATTCTTTAGATGTATCTAAATAACTCAGTGTAATGTGATTATTTTTATGAAATCTGTCATTGATTATTCATCAAATGTCTAAAGTGGTTTGATGAAATATAGATCAATCCACCTTAAATATATATTTTATTACTCAACATGTTATATTTTTCAATCAGAACTTTTTTGTCTGCATAACCCAACCCAGACACCTTACTTCTACCTTTTCTCTTTTTCTTGACAATGTTCTGACCCATGTCAAGCTACACTTAGAGAAAAAGATGCAAGAAGACAGAAACAAACAAATAGCCATTCTACTGATGACAAATGTGGGTTAGGTTAAAGTTTTTGGTAGAGATTTTTTCCTGAATTTCAAGCTAACTAAAAACATACTGATTATGATCAATTTAAAAATATTGTTTAGTCAATATATACTGCATATTCCACATTGAAAAAAAGAGACAGAAGATAGACTTGATTGGCACCCACTTCTTCTTCACATTTTGTAGCTGCTGTCACGATATTACCTTCCTTTCCACGCAGACCAGGGTAATGCTTACCTGATCAACAGCATATTGTGAGATGAGGGAATATTAATTTTGTGGTCATTGTTGTAATATCTGAGAGTCATTTTTGTTAAATCTGTAGAAGTGGTGCACATATCACAGTGCTAAATTAGGACATTTGCAATTATGTGAATATATTCCCAATAACACAATAAAACCCTACAATGAGACAAAAGACCTCCTATGTTGCAAATTATTACAATTCTTGAAATAATTGTTTGTTTGTTTTTTGCATGTCTTTTATTTATACAGCATAATAAAATTATTTTCATCTTCCAAATTAGGTTTAAATGAAGGGGTCAGATGTAGAAGGCACCATCTGGGTTTATTGGAGCACGATTCCGTACTCTTTAATATTTAGGTTTTCGCTTTAAATTTGTCCCTTTGCACATGTCGCCTGTATTGACATTGCTCTGCAGCTAGATTGATTAGATGTTCCTTCTGTTTGCCTTTGATTTGTCTGTTTGCATGTGTTTAAGCTGCAGTAAGTGGAAATTTCTTGAACACCGTAGGTGGCAGATAGTAGGACAGGTAGTGTGCGCACATGCATTTAGATGCCATATGATCCCTATGGGATTTACTGCAAAGTCTTTCCCATATCTTCTTGTGATTGCTTTGACTTATTGCGGCTCTGTCAGTACTCAGACAGGGACATTGTAAAGAGGACGACATCAATTTGCAGTGAAATCCTCTTCTGGATTATGGTAAGAGCATGCTGGGCTTCAAATCTATTCAGCTGTAAGTAGATCAACCATCATGATAAAGAATTTAAATGATTTTCTACCTCTGGTGGAGTAGATTCGCAATTCCACCAGAGAGGACAGGAGCATTTACAATCCTTTAATGACAACTTACCTCTGAAATCAACTTTTTTTTTTGCTGATAAACTGTATAGAGTACATAGATGTCATATAGTGGTGCCTATGTGTCCTAGGAGTTTATTTATGCATTTCACGGCACAATTGTTAAAATCCTACTTTTATGTCTAAAACTGCCTGTTGTGCCCCCTCACCCTTAAGATGGGGTACTGTGTCTTATTTTCTTATTATCCTAGCATGTGCTGTGACCTCATCAAAGGAGAATTAAGGTCAGCAGTTCTACCCTGGTTAGCTGCTCGCTCCTAATTCGCTCATCCTTCTGATGTTGTCACTTAGGGACTGACAACAAATAAAATTACTTTACCTGATAATGTAACGTATAAAAAAAATCATGATTTTCGTACTTATTAAACTATTAAGTCCATCAAAATTAAACAAAAACAAATGCTAAAAACAACAAAAAAAAGTCTGCATCACCAATTTTGGGGTTAAAATTATCAAAAAATAAACCATGCACAAAAACACTACAGAAAGGAGTATGCCTCATTTTTCTTGTCTAAAATAGCTGTTTTTCTTCTTTTTCTTTTTTTTTTTTGTCACATGAAAACAAAGTTATAATTTTTTGTTTATGAAGAGTACCTCTTTTGGATATTTAGTGCCAGCCCTCACAAAAACCCATGTGGAAGGAGTGCAGACGGATAGAATCTCTGAGGCAGCGGTTCTAATCAGAGGCTCAGGACTCCTCACCCCCACAGAACCTTCCCTTATTTACCCCATCTCTAGTGCAGAAATGA